CAGGCCAGCAGGGGAGGGCAGTTGGGGGTGAGATTAGGCTGGCAGGGGAGGATAGTTGGGGGCAACCAGGCTGGCAGGGTAGGGCAGTTGGGGGCAATCGGGCCGTCAGGGGAGCAGTTAGGTGTTAATCAGGCCATCAGGGGAGCTGTTAGGGGGTGATCAGGCTGGCAGGCAGAAGCAGTTAGGGGCAATCAGGCAGGCAAGCAGTTAGGAGCCAGCAGTCCCGGATTGTGAGAGGGATGTCCAACTGCAGTGGACATATGGCAGTCGGACATCCCTCCAGGGGTCCCAGATTGGAGAGGGTGCAGGCTGGGCTGAGGGACACCTCCCCCAGTGCACGAACTTCGTGCACCAGGCCTCTAGTGGTAGATATGAACAGAGATTATTAATAGAAAACAGGCAATAATCAAGAAAAGCAACAAAATTAAAAGAAGGTTTTTTGAAAAGACTGATCCAATGGTAGTCTCTGGCAAGACTGATTTTTTTAAGTGGAAGAAGGAACACATGATACATATTTCAAAAGAGCTGATAAACTAATATCAGTTTAACTATATGATTAGCAATTTGAGATATGTGTGCCAAATGCTTCTTAATGTGACCCACAATCTAATTTGGATGAAAGATTTTAAAACATCATTCTGTTGCTTCTCAAATATTAATGTTTTAGCATATGAAATGCAATTCCAATATTCTCATTGATACCTTTCTATTCAATAATATAGGTAATATTTTTAAAATACTATGCTTTCTTCTATGGGACTCAGTAAAGGTATTTTGAATTTAAAAAGTGCCATTTACATTGTTATTTTTTCATGAATTGATTCTCTAAAAGGTTCTTCACTCTCCACACTTGTTTACTAATATTAATTTAATTAAAATAATAACAGGACTCCATTTGCCTCATAGCCTACAAACTCCAATTTGATCTGGCAAACTGTCTTAGAAAAAAGTTGCTAACTAGTAGTGACACCTTACACAAATAATTTGAATCTTTCTGGGTCAATCAAGGTTTTCCTCAAGTCATAACTTTTGATTTGGAATCAAATGATGCTATAAAGTATGTGTATCTATCTAGTAGCATCATGATACTAGCCTAAACCTGTTTGAACTTTAATCTATTAGTAAATAAGCATAGCATTGTGGTTAGGAGCACAGCCTTTGTAGCCAGGTGGCTGGGTTTAGATCCTGACTGCCATCTACTAGCTTTAGGGACTTGGATAAATTATGTAACCATTCTGTGCCTCTATTTCCTCATCTGTAAAATGAGAATAAGAGTGACTGCCTTAGAGTTGTACAGATTGATTAGTTAATATACGTAACATTTAAAACAGTGCCTACTCCTAAAAATATTATATATTAGCCATTATCATCATCATCATTTGTTATATTTCTGAATGTTATGATCTGTTGAAAGCTATCTTCATTAGTTAGTGAAAAGGCTCCCTGGAGCCTTACTGGAAAGTCCAAATACAATTTTGAATGGAATCCAGATTTAGTGATGGCATGTTTATTACCAGTGTTTTGCAAAGTTACATTTAAAGGGAATCAAGTACACAGGTGATATAACTGTTTATTACCTAGCAAGAAAAAGACCGTATAGAATCCACAGCCCTTTAGCGTATGTTCATTGCTAACAGAATGGAATGAAATAAAGGAAAGTAATTATTAATTAACTAGAAGACTCTTAATGATATATTAGAGCAGTGGTTCTCAATGTTGACTGCACATTAGAATCACCTGGGAATCTTTTTAAAATCCTGATTTCTGGGCCTCATCCTCCGGAAATTCTGTTTCTTTATTACTAATGTTGTGGCCCCACCCCATAACAAAGAAACAGAATTTCTGGAGGATGAGGCCCAGAAATCAGGATTTTAAAGAGATTCCCAGGTGATTCTAATGTGCAGCCAAGGTTGAGAACCACTGTATTAGAGTCTACTCAAGTTTTTGATAACTGATCCAGGTGTTATTCTTTGTGACATTAATACTCTTCCTATTTAACAATTGGAAATATATATCATAAACATAAGCTCTTCCATGACAAGATTAAGATTAATGCTGTTGATTACATTTTATAGGATGAGATTTGATTGATCCTCTTACAATAATAAAAATGTTTAGAAAGGTATTGAACAACTGGTGAAAACTTAAATAACGCATTCTTTTACTATTTCTCACCTAACATTACTGACTGGTGCTAAAATGTGAAAATTAATTACAAGTTAAAAGGACAGAATAATTTATTTTATTTATTTTTTTAAATATGTTTTTATTGAGGGTTGTTTTGTGTGTGTGTGTGTGTGTGTGTGTGTGTGTGCTTTATTTTTTTTTTTAGAAAGAGAGGAAAGGAAAGGGGGTGAGAGAGGGAGGGAGAGAGAGAGAAAAACAACAAAACATAGATGAGAGAAAGAAACATCCATTGGCTGCCTCCTGCACACCCCTTACTGCGAATGGAGCCTGAAACTTGGACATGTGCCCTGACCAGGAATCCAACCAGTGACCATTCGGTGCATGGGATGATGCTCAACTAACTGAGTCACACCGGCCAGGACTTTTTTAAAATTTGTATTTATTGATTTTAGAAAGACATTGGAATGGAGAGAGAGAGAGAGAGAGAGAGAGAGAAACATCAATTTGTTGTTCTACTTATTTATGCATTCATTAGCTGATTCTTATATGTGTCCTGATCAGGGATTGAACCCGCAACCTTGGTATATAGGAACAAAGCTCTAACCAACTGAGCTACCCGGCCAGGGCAAGAACAGGTTAATTTTAATATTTAATTGGGGAGCTTTATTGAATGTAGACAGCACAGTACAAAATTCAGGAAATTAGTTAATATTAATTTTCTAAATAAAGTTTAATATGTATCATGGATTTTCACTTGATACAAGTGATTTTCTACAAAACATACATTCCCAGCTTAATTTTTTCTTTAGAGAAACAGATTTTAATAGACTTATTTCCTCAAAGTTCTCCAAAATCATAAATGTTACCTTTTTACCCTTCTATTCTTCATTAAATAAACTCTTAACCATATTAATTTATTCTGTTTGGAATTTAAGGATACAGACAAGTCATATAATGAAAAGTTAAACAAAGGAGGTAATTAGTACTTTAGCAAAATTTCTAAATCATAAGTTTTATTTTTTGGTATTAAAGTCTATTTTGAAATGACAACTTAGTTACGATATAATTTTTTGAGAGAAAGCATACATTCAAAGTAACAAATGTGGAAATTATTATTAATCAGTTTCTGAATGACCTTACTCAATAAAATTATAAATACCAGAGCATAGAAAATATATTTTAAATACGTTTCCCCCTAGTAATAGGAACAAGTAAGATTAATGAAATAAAAATTAAATGAAGAAAAAAGATAAACCAGTATTGGAAAGTCTGTTCCAGACAATATATTTCTTAATATGTTAATAAATTACATTTGAAAATTTTAAAAAATTGCTTCACTTTACCTGTATATTTGATTTCATTGGGAAGTTGGATCCTTCAACAGTGTTCGCCTACAGCTATACTGTTCAGTACATGTAGGTATAGAGCATTTAGAATGTAGCTCATCTGAATTGAGATGTGCATAAGTGTAAAGTACACACCACATATCAAAGATTTAGTGTGAGAAAAGAATATTAATTATAATTATCTCTAATCATTTTATATTCTATGTTAAAATTATATTTTCGGTATTTTGGGTTAAGTGGAATATTAAAATTTATTTCACCTATTTTTCCTTTTTAAAAATTTTTAGATTTTAAATTACATTAAGTGACACATTATATTT